CCCAAGAGACAGAAAGGGCCACATAAACCAGAGACTTCATCAGCCTGAGACCAGAAGAACTAGATGGTGCCTGGCTACCACCAATGACCACCCTGACAGGGAACACAACAGTCCCGAATGGAGCAGGAGAAAGGTGGGGTGCAGAACTCAAATTCTAGTAAGAGGACCAGACTCAGTGGTCTCACTGAGACTGGAGGAACTCTGGAATGCATGGCTCCCGGACTCTATCAGCCCAGAAGTAAAACAATTTCCGAAGCCAACTCTTCAGACAGGGATTGGACTGGACTGTGGGACATGAAGTGTGATACTTGTGAGGAGTGTGCCTCTTAGCTCAAGTAAATACAGGAGACTAAATGGGCAACTTCTGTCTGGAGGTGAGATGGGAAGGCAGAGAGGGTTAGGAGGTGGTTGAATGGACATGGGGAATCAGGTGGAAAGAAGGAGTGTGCTTTCACAATATGGGGAGAGCCACTGGGGTCACATAGCAATGTGTGTATAAATTTTTGAATGAGAGACTAACTTGAAACGTAAACTTCATTTAAACTATAACAATAAAAAAAAAAGATTAAAAAAAGTCAAATCTAGAGCGAGCATTGAATACGTTTTGTTCATTGATATTTTTAGCTCTTGTTGTGTAATAAACCCTAATCCTGAATTTAGTTATATAACTTGATATTTCCTTTGTTTATATTTTAGATGGAGCAGATAAAAAGGGCAAATAAACTGTTTACCAATGATTGTATATTTCTGAAGAAAACTTTGAACATCCCAGTTATATCAGAGAAGCCTTTATTGTTTAATGGAATTAACTCAATTGATTCTCCAGAAAATGAAACTGTTTATAGCAGTCTTTCTCATGAAGAAGAGCCAGTGGTGGCTAGGGAAGCCCTCTCTCCTCCCAGTCCTCAGGAATCTGACATTCAGCCTGTGCAGTCTGAGGAAGTGTCAGCCAGAGATTTCCTGCAGAGGCTGGACTTGCAGATTAAGTTATCAACACAGGCAGCCAAGAAACTAAAAGAGGAAAGCAGGTAAAAACGCCCTGGTAAAAATGTCAGAGGCTGAATACGTTATTTCTTAAAATGCCCTTGCTTGGCCTAATCTTTCTTCTTTTTCCTTTAAAAATTGTATTTCAATTCTAGAAAGGCATTTTTAACATATGAAGTCTAAACAGACATGCCGCATTCTGCATGAAACCATATGTGTCTCAGTGCTTCATTATAAAAAGTTTGCTTCTTTGCTTTAATAGCATAACTGTCAAGCTAGCATATCTGGATAGCAGCCAAGTAGAGGCATCTAGCTGATACCTTCAAGGGAAACAGTGCCCTAGAGAATGTTTGTAAAATACAGATCCTTATAAAATTGGTCAAGACATTGTCCATTATTTATGTTACCTGGTGTTTCTTATAAGATCTCATGTGAGCTTATTTGTTTTTTTTGTCTTAAAAAATGTGGTACTAAAACAAACCTTCCTCCTATAGAATTGGTTTCCTTATTCCTTTATGATTTCAAGAATGGTACAACCTAATGTGTTTATTTTTGCTCAGGCTACCAAGAAGCTTACAACTAAAAATGATGCTCAGGATCAACTCCTATTTCTTATGATTCATATATTTGTTTCCTTCTCTTTTCTTCAGTCCTAGTTTTTAATTTCTATTTTATTCATTTTATTATATGTATACTCTTTATTGTAGCACCTCAAATCCTTTTGGGAAAGAGGTAGAGTATAAAAAAATAAATATAATTAATTTATAACTTAATATAGGTGCCCTGGGTGGCACAAATGGTTAAGTGTTCAACTACCAGATGAAAGGTTGGCAGTTTGAACCTACCCAGAGATGCCTTCGAAAGACAGGCCTGGCAATCTGCTTGTGAAAGTTCCCAGCCTTAAAAACCGTACGGAGCAGTTCTATTCTGCACACATTGGGTTGCTGTGAGTGGGAATCAACTCAACGGCAACTAACAATAACAGCAACAAAATAATTTAATATAACATATTTAAATATATAAACAAATATCATTCTTTATTCCAGTAACTGAGACACCAGTTCTTCTAAATTGTGTACTACCTAATGGAGACAATAAGGTCCACCTTAATATTTGCACTCCATACAAGTTTCAAGGAATAAAACTCAAACCAAACCATTGCTGTCCAGTGGATTCCAACTCATAGTCAGAATGTAGGACAGAGTAGAACTGCCTCATAGAGTTTCTAAGGAGTGCTTGGTGGATTCGAACTGCCAACCTTTTGGTTAGTAGCTATAGCACTTAACCACTATGTCACCAGGGTTTCCTTTCAAGGAATGCACACTATAAGTTGGTGTATTCCTGCCCTTCTTCAGCAATTGGATATTAAGTTGTAAACATCCATTTATGCTCTTTCTTTTTTTTCAGAGATGAAGAAAGTCCCTGTGCAACTTCCCTCCATCACAGTTAGGTGATTAGGGGCCTAACTAACTTGGATTAAGAAATGGTTAGACCATACTGAAACCAAGAATTGAAGATTTGAAAGCATGTCTTTTGAATTTCCATAGCATACATCTTAAAATCCCAGTTTAGTAGTTCCACCTACTGCAATTGCACTGAAGGGATTCGTTCCTTCTGGCTTTCTATCATTTTAAGTCCTGTTATGGCATGAGAGCAAGATTGTATCCTGAAGCTTATCGCTTTTGTAGGTGCTGGTAGTTTTCTGACAAGCTTTTGTAATTACTCGTTGACATAAAGCATCAAAGACTATTTACATATTCAAGATAAAAGCACTGTTTATCTCCTGATGAAATCCTAGTTATGTGAAAACTATGTTGCTGTTTATGTGATGCTAAATTTGCTGTGTTTATAACTTAAGTGCTATATATATATATTTCAATATGTATTACATATTCTGTAATGATATAAAGAACCAAATTTTGTTCGTTATTTTGTAAAAATAAACTACAAGAGTCTGAATGAGAAAATAAATTATGTTTTCATATTTTGGTCTTCAGTTTTTTAAAACAAATATAATTGATTTTTAAATTTTGTTTTTAAAATGGTGACTGCTTCTCCTTCACTTTAATGATTCTTATTTTTATAAATACAATTTTGGGGAAAAAAGTTTGAATAATTTAAAAGCAAATCAATTACTAGTAACCTTTGCATCTTCATATTTGACCTGATGTGTTTCAGATACAATGAGAACATGGCATACGGTCAAGAGCACAAATAAACAATACCATCATTGGTGAATTCCAGTTTATATTTCATTGATAGATCACTTTAACAGTGTTTCGCGGTTACTGTGCTCATTTGAATTGAGGATTAAGTTTTTATTCCTTTAATTTATCTTACCTTTATTATATATATATGTTACTGCAGTAAACAAAGTGATGTATCATTTATAATTAAATATTTTTTGGCCTCAATTCTATTTAGCTACCAGATTCATTAAATCCTTAGGGTTCCACAAAAACTCCCCTGGATTTACTGTTCTCCATCATCGCAGAAGGAACTTGCTTTCCAAGGGCAAAAAAGGGGCTGGCTTGGACCTTTGTTTTCCCTTATTCAGCCTCCCTTTTCTCTTCTTCTGTCCCTGTTTTTTCTCCTTCCTCATTTCCTTCCTCCCCATCTTGCTCCTCTAGTTCTTCAGTTAAAGCCAGAAACAAGTGCCCAGAGGTGTTAATGCAGCAAAGCTTGCAGAATCGGAATCGCCCATATTCAGCCCTGGAAGCTGACTGGTGATTTAAGGGGAAGCATTAGCTGTCTGCCCTTGTCTTGCCAAATTTCTTGTTTGTTCATAACATATATAATGCTTTGTGTTTTGTTTTAATTTCATGTTATGGCATCTTTGATATAGGGTGCTCTCCTGATTGTGTTTTGCTGTTTTCTTGCATTAACTACTACGTGAACTGTGGGGAGTTAGTTGGAAAAGAACACTTAAAAAAAAAAAGTAGTAATAAAGCAAAGGAAACAGTTATGTTAAAAAAAAAAAAAAAAAGGCCAGGTCTCTGTGGAAGCATAGGAACTTTAAAAAACTTAGAATTATCATGCTGTTTAACACAATCTTAAATTGGAGCGTAATCCAGAAGACATAAATCCAAAGACATTATTCAAAAGATGTAACATAAACTCTCATTTGAAATTAAGACCACAATCACAAAAACATTTTTGAGTCCTCGTTTTATTTTTGCCTAAGGCAGCCTGTTAGCAATTTCTAGCCAAGTCTCTCCTCTCCCACTATCAGTAACTTTGAATTCTTTACAACCACGGTTGGACAGTACAGGGCTACTTTAGTCCTTACTGTAGAGGAATGCGCTGACAAGCAGCCTGGGTTGTAGTCCCAGCCTCAATCTGATTTTAAGCATATCCTGGGTGCTGTCTTCTTTTTGTGAATGTTTCCTCATTTATAAAACAAGAATTAATGATCTTTTGTCTCGGATATTGATAGGAGCAAATACATGTCAGTGTTCTTGGGAAACTACAATAAACTTTCTAAATAATTTTTTTAAAATGCACAGACATTTAGGTAAATTACAGAAAGTGAATGGATAAAACAATTCAGTCACAGCAAGTTCTGTCTGATGTAGAAGCATTGACCAGGAACATTTCAGGAGAGGACTGTCTGTAATAGTGGCTGAGGGAGAGTGTGTGCAGGGACCCAAGGCTCCTTAACATCATTTTCCTCCAGCCTTGGTTCACAGGGAACAGAGTGATTTTTAATCCTGTTTCTATCCAACTGCCTGGCCCTCTTCCTCTCTGTTAAGAAACATTTTTTTAGGCTTGGATCAAATCCAGTTTAGGTAACTATAGATTTGGCATAAATTTTTACCTTGCTTATATAGTATTTATGACCTCATTTGTCTTCCTGGAAAGTACATAGGTATCCCTCTTTATAAGCAAACTCAGTGTCTGAAAACTAACAGGAATGTTAAGAGTGGGGCGAAACTGTTAATTTATCAGCGAACCCTATGTCCATTTTTCAGGTTCCTTTTGGTGCCCATTGGGCCTGATAAAGAGCCAGCTAAAAAGAGCAGTTGAAGAAGCAGATGGCTCTCCTTTCAGCTATAGAGGCTTTGAGGAAATGAATTCATGTCAACTCCCAAAGGGAACTGCTAGTGGGAACGACATCTCCTATCAGACATACTCTAATCTACAAGGGGCCCTGGTACCTCACTGTGAAACAAGAGCCCCCTTAGTTCTCCAGGGAGTGCTTACATGTGTGATACAGAAGGAACAGGGCTTTGTTTTACATTCAGATCATTAAAAGCTTTTCCAACGTCCCCGTCTCTGATTGTAAAGTCTGAGGAAATAAGGATTCTGGACACAAAATCTCAGCTTACAATTTTACTTTTCAGATCATGTTTATGGCAAGAAAGCTATGTTTCAACCACTTCTAAGAGGTTAATTACTATATATTTAGCACTTTCTAATAATCCTTAGGTTAAGATAACTTTATTCACAGAGTAGAGGTATTTTAAAAGCTGTATTATGTTTTCTGAAGCAGTCAAAAGACTCCTGGATCCTCTGCCGTTTTTACAGGCCGCTGTAAATGTGCTTGATGGCATCAGCTTCTTCTTTATCAAGGATGCCTTTTTCCACATAAGCATCTGCTTGTTGGGTGATGAAATCCCTCATCTTTAAAAGGTCATAATCTGGAAAATATTATGAGAGCATCATGAGCAAAGAGGACAAATCCAGTCCCATTAGAGTGATTATCATCAACTGAAAAGCATTCTGTACAGTAACACAATTACTATTTCCCTATCTTTCATGTTGGAAGACATTTGAATTCTCAGCATTGGTGCTGTTTTCCATGTTTAAGTGCACTGTTATTTCAGCTGCTCTTCCTCGGAACCCTGTGAGGTACTCAGGTGCAGAGTACCATCCGCATTTGACCGTGAAGGGAAATGGCTCCTAGATTAGGGCTTCACAGGCTTTAATGTTTACGGTCATCACCTGGGGCTCTTGAACGCTGCAGATTCGTATTCACTAGGTCTGGGGTGAAGCCCAGATTCTGCATTTTTAACAAGTTCTCAGGGGATGACGCTGCTGGTCCAGGAACCACACCTGGGGTAACAAGATCCTAAAGGTTAAGTGCCTTGTCCAAGGTCATACAGTTAGTGAAAGTTATGATCAGAACCAGGTGGTCTGACTTCCTGTTGTTGTTACACCAAGTTGTGAAGTCTCTGTTGATGTGACAACCCACTTTTTAATTCAACATAAGAATTACCTTGATTATTTCCTGACATGTGAATTGTATTCATGAAGCAAAAAGCCAGACTATAACCTCTTCATGATTCCTCTGTCCTACTTACAACAAGAATCTACATAAACCATCAAACCACCCACCAAAACCAGAAATCCTCAAGTCAGGAGGCTGCCTGTGGCATCTTTCTGAAGACTTAAAAAAAGAAACATCATCCCTTGATTCTTTAATTATCATGTGCTTACTGTTTAAAACAATCAGAAATACAAAAATATGAAAATAAAATCCCGTGAATTCTATTAATCACAGATAACCACAGTTGCTATTTTGTTGTTTCCTTCTATTGCTTTTTAAATATATTTCTCATCCCAGAATTATACTTACACCCTTAGTACTAGCTCTTTTCACTTAACTTTACACAGTGAGCATTAATACTCCTCAAATACCATTGTTAAGGGTTCCATATAATGCATTCCATAGCAGGATCAACATTTATGATCTGCACCCCCTATGCTGGACATTCAAGTCTTCCACACTGTAAAGACTTGGTGAGAATCGTCCCCTCCAGACTGTGAGTTGCCTGAACCTGAGTTCCTTAAGGACAATGCCATTTGTCTTGGCAGACTTGGCATCTAGAACAAAGCCCTGCCTTCTGTCAGTTTGTCAAGGGGAGAGAAAGAAGAGACTGGAGACACAGGAGTGCCAAGTGCTCCAGGGCCACAAATAGCTGCTTTGAACGTAATCTGAACCTAGGTGGGTCACTTGGGCTTCTTTAAACCCCAGCCTGAAGGGAAAACAGCACGAAGGCTGTCTCTACAAGCACGTAAGTGTTTATCATCCCAAGTGAGTTGAGGCTCAGCTTGTTTCCTCTCCACCGAGGAAGGCATCTGCTCCCCATCAGCACATGGCTGTGAGGATTAAGAGAGATAATAACTCCCAGTCATTGAGCAGTTTGCAACTATCATCTTATTTGCTCCTCCCAAAACCCCATTTCAGAGATGAAGAAAGAGCAACCGAGGGATAAGTAACTCGCTCAGGAAGTGGTAGAACTGGGATTTGAACCCAGGTCTGTCAGTAGTCGTTGCTTTGACCGCTCTACTGCCTTGAAGTAATGATGTAAATCATCTAACAAAAGGACATAGCAAACATTCAACGAGTGCTTGTTTCTTTTAGACTATTCCTCTCAGGCACAAAACAGAGAATCCAGGTGAGTGTACATTTTGTGTGCACATCACAAGATGATCCGTGACTGACTCAGAGGGCACTGAGAGACACTGGTGATAAACTCTTAATACTGGCTCTTTAGAATTGGTTACAATGTCAGCACCTTTAATGAACAAAAAGCAGACTCCCAAGGACAGATGTGGAGGGGTCTAGGTGATCTGAATGGGCAAACAGGAAAACATGATGCTTTCTTTTGAAATGGAAATCCTAGCTTAAAACTGACGGAGCTATTACCATGCCCCTTGGGGAAGTCAGCCAGGTGCAGAGGAAAGGCCCTTGGATTCTAATCCTAGCCCTGTCCTAACTGCTGTTAGAAGTTGCACAAGCCACTTAACTATCTTGCTAACTTCAAAGAAGTTTTGAGACTGTGAGGCTCAAAAGAGATAAGGGCTATGATGCACTTTTTAAAAAGTAAAAACTTCTGTTTCATGGTTGGATAAGATTTTATTATCACCCTCACTATCACATCACACAGACCTCACTTTCCTGGGCTTGGGAAAAATTCAGGTCTCCTAGACCCCTGCCAAAGCCCATCAGCAGAGGTTAAGAAAGGTCAGAGCCAACAGGAAGTCTTCCTGCTCAGATAGCTGAGTCTGAGTGGCCCTAAGACCACGATCCCCACAGGCTGTAAGAGATGATCAGGTCAGGCAGAGCACCGACAGGGGAGTGGGGAAAGAGCTCCCCGTTTCTGCCTTTGGGGGGGTATACTGTTTACTGCCCTCACTTTCTGAAGGCAGAAGGGGGCATCAAACCCAACACTTATTCTGGAGTTTGCTCACAGAGCCTTGAATGTGTGAGCACTAGGGTCTCACGCTTCACAAGGCTGATCGTTTCTGGAACTGGAAGAGTAAATTCCAGGACGCTGCTGGTTATAACCAAGAGTCAGATTCATATGTTAATCAATGAAAGCAATAACATGAATAATCGAGACTAGTGGACAATACAATTTGCATTGGTTTGGGGATACATTTGGGTACATACTGTGTTACATTGATTCTAAGACGCACTTTTTTTTTTTTTTAAGTATTTAGAGTCATTGATGGCATATCAATTTAATTTGCCACATTTTTCGATTCATGAAACTGATGTATTTTTTGGTTCATGACAGATTTGATGAAATACAGTTCATATGAAGTTTAATGTAACTGACAGCCTGGAAATTCACATCATTTTGAACTAAATAATTATGTATGTAAAGACCTAAAAATTGTTTCCATCAATTTACAAGATCCCAGGCCAAAAGGATGCTGAAAATACCTCTTCTTCCCACTGTGCTCCATCTCAGGGGTCTAAAGCTTGGCTGCACACTGAATCATCTAGGGTGTTTCAAAGTCCTGACGCTTGCGTCCTGCCCTGAAGCTTCTGGTTTAGTGGGTCTGAGGTGCCACCTGGGCACTGGGAGAGTCAGAAGTTCATCAGATGATTTGTATGCCCTTTGAAGTTTGAGAAGCACTGCTCTGGCCAGGCACCTGACAATCATACTAGAACCTTCCCTTCTCCAGGTGTCTTGAATGTCCATCAATTCTTTATTTCTCTGCCTCTGCCTTGGTTTCCGCCCCACCATTTCTGTTCCAAATTCTTGCCTCTTCATCTCTTTCCCAGTTTCCAGGGTCTTTTTTTTCAATCTGGAATCACATCGCTGCCAGATGATTTCTCAGTTCTTAACCTAATTAGGCCCTAATTTAGGATCTCCTGTCTAAAACTAACCTCCTTTGCAGGGTGCCCAAGCCTCTTCCTGGCCTGGCCACTGCCCACCTCCCCAGCCCTGCCTGTTGGTCCTCCCTACAGACACTCCGTGTTCCTGTGAAACAAAGCAGCTCGGGTTCCCAGAAAGCACCACTCTCTTTTGTCTTTTTATGTCTTGGCACCCAGGGCTCCCTCTGCTTCCATCTGTCTTCATTCAGCAAATTCCTACTTACTGTTCCAGCAAAGGCTTTCCTGAGGCCCCTTCTCCTACCTGTCTCTGTCCTGGTAAGAAAATACACCCTTCCTCTCTTCTCCTTTGCACCACCGCACCTATCAGTGGCAGCCCTTAGCAGGCTCAAGGTAACGTTATTGACACTGTGAGCTCTTCCGGAGTGGGGCCGCATTTTACCAATCTTTGAATTTCTGGCACTCGAGGCAGGGTCTGGTTCTGTGTTTTAAGTAAATGAATGACAGCTTTCATGACTGTAGGGTAGACCTAATATGTATTCAGAAAATGCCTTTGTTTAAAATACTCCAAGAAAAGATGAGGGTGGCAGTAGATAAAACAAGGAGTCCCTGGGTGGTGAAAATGGTTAACATGCTGGGCTGCTAACTGGAAGGTTGGAGGTTCAAGTCTAACCAGTGGTGCACTGGAAGAAAAGCCTGGCAATCTACTTCTGAAAAGCAGCCACTGAAAACCCTATGGAGCACAGTTCTACTCTGACATGCATGGAGTTGCCACGAGTTGGAGCAGACTCAACAGCAACTGGTAGATCATGTGAGACTGGCGAAATGTTAATAATTACTGAAGATGGGTGGTGGATGCATGGGAATTCATTATACTATTTTCTCTACTTTTGTTTTATATTTTTCATAATAAAATGTCAAAGAAAAGAAAATGTCTTTGCTTGAAAGATTGATTTGGAAAATAAGAGAGATTGAGGTTCTGTTCCCTTCTACATCTCAGAGGCAAACTGGAGTCATCTGGACTCTGAGGGGAGATGTTAGCCCAGTCAATTTGATTATGGGAATCTTTCTATAAAAAGAGCTCCTAACAAATGGATGACATTTGCAATGTACAACCACACTAAATCCCTACCTTCATTTCCTTTTTTGTCGTGTTTCTTCAACCATTCAATATTTTTCCTGATGGCTTCCAAGTAGGCTTCTGTTTTCCCTGGAAAAGGCAAGAAAACCCATATTAAATAAAATACTGCATCTCTTTTTAAAAAGCACAGTTATATTTAAAACCACAAACAAATACTGAATTTATCAAGCATTTGAGAGGTGGTGTCCCTAAGCTATACACACACGTGGAGGATGTTGAGGAGAGCAGGTGGGGAGGAGAGTCCAGGAGATAGGATGAAACAGGTAAATGTCAAGGAACCATTATCTCCCACACACAAATAACTACAGTTTGGTGTCTAGGCAAAGAGTTTTTATTCTGTATACTGGATAGGTGGGTGGATTCCTATGATCCTTGGATTGGGCCATTTCTTGTTAGGGATGGTTCTTCCAAACTGAGGACTGAATCAAAGCAGCAGATACTACTTAAGACTCCATCATTCCAGTCCAAAATTGTGACTCAGTTCAAGTGACCATACAAGTCTTCTGCCCAATTTGGGAGGTGAGTGTGTAAAAACTCAGATGAAGAGAGGCAACCAGGCCTCATTTCAAGGTACGGGTGGTGAGCCTGAGAACTGGTTCTAATAACATGGATGTCAACACTCTTGAATGGGCATCAAGTGTGGTGAGAGAATAACACGCATCACTGAAGCTTCTCCTCTATGATGCCCTTTACATGCATTGCTGTTTGTAAGGTGGGCATCATCATCAACTCAGATATGAGGAAACTAAGGCTCAGAGAAGGTACGTGACTTGGCTAAGGTGACACAGGAAATAAATAGTTAGAATTTGAACTCTGGTCTGCCTAGTTTCTGTTACCTGCACTACCTGAAAAGATAAGACCTCATCTTCAGACATGGACACTAATGTAGTCTTGTTCTGTCTCAAAGACAGGTGAAGTCCCTAATGTTCAGAGTGTCTACACCAAGAGACCATGTGGCCTGGACAGTGCTGTATGGCCTCACAGGCCTTCAATGTCCAGGACCTCTGCAGAAGCAATGGCTTCCAAAGCCTAGAGTGGTGACCACCCCATTCTGAGCCCCCTTTGAACCCTGTTACCTCTAGCCTACCGTGCAGACCTCTCAGTTGTGCTACCTATACTGTGTGTTTATTTATGTGCCAGGCACAATGCTTTGTGCTCCAAAATGCATTATCTCATTTATTCTTTACAATAACCTTTCGAGGCCAAACCCAAAGCCCACTGACCTTGAGCTGATTCCAACTCATAGCGACTCTATAGGACAGGGTAGAACTGCCCCATAGTGTTTCCAAGGCTGTAAATCTTTATGGAAGCAGACTACCACATCTTTCTCCTGCGTAACAGCTGGTGAGTTAGAACTGCCAACGTTTCACTTAACAGCTGAATGCTTTAACCACTGAGCCACCAGGGCTCCTTCCTTTGGAGGCAGTCCTACTGTTTTACAGATAAAGAAACTGAGGCACAGAGAAATAAAGTAATATGACCAAGGTCACATGGCCAGTAAGTAGTAGAGCCACCCTTGAACCTGGGTACATCAGACTACAGCCCATGTACAATATATCACTGCCTTAAAATTTGCCAATGTTCTAATTTCTGCCACTGTCTTTACTTAAACGACTTCCTGAGCATCTTTCTTCCTGTTCCTGTAAACCCACTCCTGCCTCACTACTGCAGCTTTATGTTATCTGGCCCCCAAAGAAGCACTGAGAAGCCCCTGCAGAAAGGAATAAGTGGACAAGAGAAAAGACCCACAATTTTCAGCCCGATTCACTTCAATCGCCTGTGTAGAAACAGCCTTGACTTCAGTGCTTTGTTTTCAAGAATGTCAGAGCATGTGAAAGACCAGTGTCCTTCTGGCTGATGTTATAACATTACAGGCAATCAATATAGAGATTTTCATTGTCTGTTGCTCATTGCTGAGAAGGTCTGCCCCATAGGGTTTCCAAGGCAGCAGCTGGTGGGTTTGAACTACAGCCTGAGCTCTTAACCACTGCACCACCAGGGCTCTGTGATTATCCTATATGTTGTAAATCCTAACTTCTATGATGTTTATGAGGCAGGACTAGAGGCAGTCATGCTAATGAGGCAGGACACAATCTACAGTATTAGGTTTTATCTTGAGTCAATCTCTTTTGAGATACAAAATAGAGAATCGAGCAGAGAGGAGAGAGACCTCATACCACCAAGAATGAAGCACTACGAGGGGAGCGCATCTTTTGGACCCAAGGTTCCTGCACTGAGAAGCTCCTAGACCAGGGGAAGATTGATGACAAGGCCCTCCCCCAGAGACGATGGAGAGAGAAACCCCTCCCCTGGAGCTGGCGCCCTGAATTTGGACTTCTAGCCTCCTAAACTGTGAGAGAATAAACTTGTGTTTGTTAAAGCCATCCACTTGTGGTATTTCTGTTGTAGCAGCAGTAGATAACTGAGACAAATACTGTATTAAATTTTCTGAAATAGGCAAGTAAAAAAAAAAATTATGACATTTTACCATAGCGTATCAGACACTGTTCATGTTCGACTCTCACACATCTCCCCCTTTCTAGACATGCTAATGGAGCAGCCCTCAATCAGTAATGGGTGAAATTGGCAGATAAATATCCCAGCTTCTTTGCTCCTCAGGTGGGACAGCCCTGAGCCATGTTCTACACAGTCTCCCAGAGGTCCTCAGTGGGATTCAGCCCCTGCTGCTCACAGCTAAAAACACTGGTTTCTTTCTCTTCCTGTCTCATGTCCTTGTTCCCCCCACTGGTGCCTCCTGGGATCACCTCCAAATTAAACTACTTGACCTCAAATCCTTTTCACAGGGTCTGTTTCCAGGGGAACCCAACCCAAGATAATGTGAAATAGAAATCTCAGCATTATCTAGTTAGTTAGGCTGCTTTTTGCTCAGAACCAATTACCTATAAAAAATGGTGTTGAATTTATCAAGTATAAAATGTATGAAAAATAATTTTATTCACTATATTGACATTATCAACCCACAGCACTGAATAAGTTTACTACAGCTTAAGGAAAAATGGACTGAAACCCATTAAGAAGCCACTATCTTATGGACCATGACATATGTGATTACGGTATTCCCTTGATTTTAGAATAGAATGCCCCCTCATCACCCTTACCCTCTTTCCTGCTTTATATTTATCCATAGCATTTACCTCCTTCTACCAAATCAGCAATGGGTTTACCATATCGTATAATTTGCTTATTTACTGAGTCTACTGTTTGTTTCCTCCCTTAGAAATGTGTTTTGTATGCTGATGTACCTCAGTGCCTAGAACAAGGTCTGGCACATAGTAGGCTGTCAATAAATATTTGCTGAATGAGTGAATGAAGTCTTCCTATATGAAAGCCAGATAGTAATCAAAAGATTGCTTGGTGATCATGGAATCAAAACTACAATTAAAAAAAGAAAAGAGTAAATGGCAAAGACATGTAATTTAAAAAAATAAATGAATTATAAATGAAAACTTGAAATTTAATAGATTCTGAATTTAAATGATAGTCTAGTTAAAACAACTACCAATATCCTAGGCATATCATATCTATATGTCATTTAATCTTTATAGAACTCTATGAATAATTATTATTATTACCATTTTACTGATGAGGAAACTAAGGCTCAGAAAGGTTAAGTGACATGCTCAAGGGTAGAGAAGGTCAGAGCCTAATCTTGAACCAGAATGAATCTGAGACCTCTATAGATGGGAGCAGGGTAAATTCACCTTTTACAGTAGACGGACTTAGGGCTTTTTTGTTATCGTTGTTGCCAAACTGGCCAAAATCACAGTGGTTCTCCAACACTGCCGCACATTAGAATCACTTAAACCACTTGCCATCAAGCTGATTCCAACTCACAGAGTAGAACTGTGCTTGGTAGGGTTTTCAAGGTTGTGACCTATTGGAAGGAAATCACAAGGCCTTTCTTCTGAGGCACCTCTGAGTGGGTTTGAACTTTGACCTTTTGGTTAGCAGTCCAGTGCTTAACCATTTATACTACCCAGGGTGCCTTTTCAAATCACTTAGGGGAGCTTTTTAAAAATCCCAGTGTTCGCCTTTGAGAGCAAGGGAGAACGAAGAAAACAAGATACAAGGGAAAGATTAGTTCAAAGCACTAATGGACCACAACTACCACGGCCTCCACCAGACTGAGTCCAGTACAACT